CCGCCGTCGCCGCCGCCGCCGTCATCGTCGTCGCCGTCGCCCTCGCCGCCGCCGCCGTCGCCGCCGCCGTCGCGGCGTCGTCGCCGCCTTCGTCGTCGCCGCCGCCGCCGCCGCCGCCGTCGCCGCCGCCGCCGTCTTCGTCGCCGTCGCCGTCGCCACTCACTGCCGTCGCCGTCGCCGTCGCCGAAACCGCCGTCGCCATGGCCGCCGACGTCGCCGCCGCCGCCGTCGTCGCGCGCGCGCGCGGGGCCGGACCGGACCGGGACCGGACCCGGGAACGGGACCGGACCGGACCGGGACCGGACCCGGGATCCCGCGGGACCGGACCGAGACCGGACCGGACCGGGACCGCACCTGGGACCGGGACCGGACCGGACCGGGACCGGACCCGGGACCGCGGTCGTCGCCGCCGCGTCGTCGTCCCGGGTCCGGTCCCGGTCCGGTCCGGTCCCGGTCCCGGGTCCGGTCCCGGTCCGGTCCGGTCCCGCGGGGTCCCAGGTCCGGTCCCGGTACTACGGCCCCTACCCTTCCTCCTCCCTTCCTCCTCCCTTCCTCATCATCATCATCATCATCATTGTCATCACTATCATCATCATCGTCATCATCATCATCGTCGTCGTCGCCGTCGTTGCCGTCGCCGCCGCCGCCGCCGTCGCCGTCGCCGTGCCCGTCGCCGCCGCCGTCTTCCGTCGTCGTCGTCGTCGTCGCCGTCCGTCGCCGCCGTCGCGGTCGCTACCCCCTTTATCATTCGTATTCATCATTATCGTTATTATGAAATGATCATCATATGAACGATGAGATGATACGGCGAAACGTGTGAGGGGTGTGCCGCACTGGCCGGGGGGACGCTATGCGAGCACGCCTGTCTCGCCGTTGGTGGTGCCAGGGGGGCGGCGACTCCGGCACCCTGGCACCGACCGCGACGGCGACGGCTCCGGCGACGGCTTCGGTGATGGGTCTGACGGCGACCCCGATGCTTCCGACAATTCCGATGAATTCGTATCCGCCTCTGGCAGCGACAGCGATTCAAGAGACGACGTAGCCGACGACGACGGCGGCGACGCTGACAACGACGACGACGATTCTGACGACCCCGACGTCGACCCCAACGACCATGATGACGGCGACGACTCCAACGAGTCCGACTCCAATTTCGACTCGGACCACAGCGAATCCGACGACGACATCGGGTGCTTCGACGACGCTCCCAACTCCGATCCTGATGACTCCGACGACAATTCAGGGGGGCAATTTCGACAACGACGACAACGCCGACGACGATGAGACCGATACTCAGAAACCTCCAACCCCGACGACGCCTTCGGCGACGGCAACGGCGATTGCGACCACTTCGGCGGGGCGGGCTGCGACGACGACAACTCCGATGACGATCCCGACGACTCCGGCGACGGCCCAAACATTACTCCAACGCCTCGGTCTCCAAGGGCAATGAGTTTTTCGGTAATTTCGAAAATGACTGCGACGATGACTCCGAGGGCGACGCCTTCGACGACGACAACGACTTAGACGACGCAGACGAATTCCTCCGTTGACGACGAAGACGACTCCGGCGAGTGGCCGCCGGAGTCGTTGTCGTTGTCGTTGTCGTTGTCGACGTCGTCGCCGTCGTTGTCGGAGTCGTCGCGTTCGCCAGACTCGGAGTCGGCGTCGTCTGAGTCGTCGAAGGCATTTGAGTCGTAGTCGCCCTCTTCATTAGGTTCCCTCGATTTGTCCCCATCACTGTTGCGGCATCGTCGCCGGGGTCGTTTTTGTCTGTGTCGTCGTCTTCCGAATCGGAGTCGTCTCCGTATGGGAATCAGAACCGTCGTCGTCGTCGGACTCGTAGTTGTCGTAGGAGTCGCGCGAGTAATCGGAGGGGCCACGTCGCCATCCATTGTCGCCAAAATCAATATCGTCAGAATCGCTGTCGTCCTCGTCGTTGGAACCATCGCCGAACACGACGTCGGAGGCGCAATCGCAATGAAGGCCGGATTCGTCGGCGTCGTCGTCGGGGTAGTCTGCGTCGTCAGCGGCGAAGTCGCCATCATGGTCGGAGTCGGAATCGTCCTCGGAGTTGTGATTGGAATCGTCGTTGGAATCGTTGTCGTTGCCAGTGTCAAAGTCACGACCATCGAAATCATCGTCACCATCGATAAGGAATCGTTGGTACTGCCGTCAATGTCGTCGGAGACGGAATCGTCGGAGTCGTTTCCGTCGTCGTCGCATTCGGAGTCTTCCGCGGAGACCCGGGAGTCGTCGATGGAATCATTCGTCGTCGCCGCCGTCGGAGTCGTCGGCCCTAGGGGGGAATGGGGGCGCCCGCACGTGGGTCCGCGCTGATGCGGCACAATCCTTACGCGGATCATGCCCCATATGGAGCTCTCGCAACGGCCCCAGTGCTGACGTCTGAATGCGAGTGCATGCTGTCGTTGTCGTCGTTGTCCTCGTTGTCGACGGCGCGCATCGTAAACGTCGTCATGACAAATACTGGCTTCATCAAGGTAAAATTTGCTGCATGATCAAGGCTTGCCGAATCATGGTAGACCTGGGCCGCATCAAGGTACATCTCGTCGACGCGAAACTCGAATATATCCATGTGACGCATTGGGGTTGGTGCGCGAGGGGCAGTCATCATCCCTATGACTACAGGCGACGGCGCTATGAGGGTTGAATCCTAGGTGCCGAATGCTCGTGGGCTAGGTGCCGAATAGCGCGGTTAGAGAATCCCTCCGACTTTAAACGGAGAAGGTTAAAGGCGAGGTATAAATCGAGCATGTACCGCTGCCGTGCCTGGCTCAAGCCGGGCCCGGCCAAATATATGACTGTGCCTCACCGAGGCGCACTACTTGCATCTGAGATCGGAAAACATCCTTTTCCATTGACGATGCCCATCCTACTCTTTACTCCAGATCCCATGCTTCGTCTCGCTCTCTTGCTCATGCGCTATGAGCCTAAGCCTGGGATATGGCAACGCCTAAGGCGTAATACATACTTAAGCTTACCAGCTTGTTTTCGACTCTCTTGGCCTGCCTTGGGAGGGCCCCTTGGACCGCCTCGGGGCCCTGCTGGGCCGTCTGAGGGCCCCCTCGGGGGCCTCCCGGGCCCCCTCCGGGTGATCTTGGGGGGCCGGCGGGCGTCCGAGCAGCCCCGCCGCCCCATCCCGCCGTCTGGGAAGGCCTGCGCCCCCGCGCACTCCCCCCCCCCCGGGCGCGCCGCCGAGCTGCCTGCCGGACCCCCCAATCGGCGAGCGAACCACAGAGGGTGTGGTGTGCACAGCGTTCGTTTCGAGTTCTTCGAAAGCTCTTCGATTTTCTGGGGGGCCAAGATCCGCTCATATTTCTAATTGTGCTACCCTGGGCCTCTTTCTGGCCACGAGGGGGCCAGGAGCAGTCAGAAACGAGCACAGTCAGAAACGAGCGCGATTAGAAATGAGCGACGTGTACGCCTGGGTGTGGTCTGCGATCGGTGCCGTTGGGGCCTGGGGGGTGGGGGCACGACGCTGTCCTCGTAGGGCCGCCTCGGGGCGCGGCGGAGAACTCTGCCGAGGTGCCCGCCCGCCCCCCAGGGCTCCCCCCAGGGTGCCGACTGCAAACCTCACCCTTCGGAGTCGCTGAGACATGCCCAAACCTCCAACGTATTGAGAAGGCAATACAGAAGTTGCCGCTTTCGGTTTCCAGGGTGCCTCGCAGCATGGCAAAGGTGAAAGCATTGGACGTTTGTGGATGCGGCCCGGCCCGCCCGCCCGCCCCGCATTCCGCTGCTGCCAGGCTCCAACAATCCCGAAGAGTCGTTGGGATTCCGCCCCATACGTCTGCCAGAACGTGACAGGACAACGACGGACGAGAACGGCAGGCCATGACGGAACCTCGGCCTTGTTGATAAGCAATGGGCCACATGTGATTCCCCCCCACATAATAGGTTGGGTTTGCTAGACGGGCGCGTCATTCACACATGCCCACACGCCCATTATACACACCTCTAAACAGGAGGACCACACAGCATGGCGGAACTACGAACATAAGAAACACACACACACATGAGATGGGGAGGGGGAGGAACGAAGAGGAGTAGGAAGAGCAACGAGAAACACTTTGGATGACATGTGCATGACCTCTTGATGGGGCAGCACTGCTGGCCGCGAGCAGCGCGCCCCGCCACCAGAAAGAGGAGGAGGAGGACGACGACGACTACGATGACGAGGAGGAGGACGAGGAGGATGAGGAGGAAGAGGACGAGGACGAGGACGAGGACGGGGAGGAGGAGGAAGAGGAGGAGGAGGCGGAGGAGCAGGAGGAGGAGGAGGAGGCGGAGGAGGAGGAGGAGGAGGAGGAGGAGGAGGAGGAGAGATGAGGACGATGAGGGGGAAGGGGGTTGCCAGCGCGACAGCCGTGACTTCTTCGCGTGGGGGTATCGCGACGCACGACGAGAGGCTATGGCAGCCTCCGTCCTCCATGGAGCCTCGCCTGGCCCCAGCACTGGCCAGAAGGACTCGGGATGTGACGACGGCCCCGGGGAGAGGGTCCAGACCTTCGGAGAGAAACACGCTGTGGGACAAAGCACGATGTCGGAAATCTCGGGACGGCGAGGAGGGTCTCTTTCGTTTCACCGATGCCTATCCCCATTCCCATCCCCATCCCGATCCCGACCCCCACCAGCCCACCACCCCAGTTGGGGGATATGCCCCTCGACGCCTGAAGGGAACCGCCTACATCCCCGTCTCGGGGGTAAATCGGCCAGTGGGGCCCAGGCCACGCCAGTGGGTACAGGGATCGGTTCAACGATGCTCAGAGGGGGAAGAGGGAGCCAGCCCAGCAAAGGCTCCATCCGTCCACGTCCACCCTCCTCCGCCTGATTCGCCCCTGCCGCCCGATACCCTTCCCTTCTTCGTCGGCGTCCGCTCGGCAGGCGTGGGCACCCTCGAGGGCACGTTGCACGAAGTCCTAGGTGCGGGCCCCTCGACGCGGCATTCTGTGATGCGTTCTGCCGCCCCCCGTCCTCCAGAGGAGACCCTCGCGATTCAGGTGCAGGAGTTCCTGGACGGCTGGGAGTTCCGGATCATGCGGTCGTCGCTCGGGAAGGCGTGGAAGCGCGATAAGGCCATATCCACGGCGCTGGACCTGATGGCCGTGAACGGGGTCCCCCTGTCCAGGGACGAGATCGACTTCATGTCGCGGGCGGACGAGCGCACGCTGGTCGGGCTGCTCACGGACAAGATCCCGCCGACCATGTGGGACAACTTCGAGATCCTGACCACGGAGCTCACGGTGATGCTGAACACCATGTGTCGGGTCCGAACCGCCTTAGACGAGGAGGACGAGTCCGTGGCCCAGATCATCGAGGAGACCGCCGAGTCCGACACGATGGTGCAGCGCATCGTGAAGGAGTCGGTGGTGCTGGCCAGCAGGGAAGCGGCGTGCCTCGCGGAGCGGGGCGCCGCCTGGCGGGCGAGCATGGACAAGCGGCTGGAGCGCCTCGAGAGCTCGGCCAGGTATGCGGAGTACGCCCGGCAGCAGCTCATGGCCGTGGAGAACCAGCTGGGCACCATCACGGCCAGCCAGAGCAGCAAGAACAAGTCGGCGCTCATGGGCCTCGCCCAGGGCAACGACAGGGCCCTGCTGAAGAGCACCCTCAGCAGCTGGCTCGGGGTCACCCTCGGCAGCAAGGCCGACAGGGAGGTCCGGCAACGGTACGAGCGTGAGCTCAAAGACTCTGAGGACTCGAGGAGGAGCAAACGTACGGTAGGTTTGTGCCGTGTCGACGCGGCGAGGTCCCACTGCGGGCGTTCAAGGTTGAACGCCGCCAGTGGCCCAGAATCGTCCAACACAGAACGATTTGGCGATCGCAGAGCCGCCGATGGTTTACGGTTGATCGATCCACGCGGTGTCACGAACAAAATGCCGAAGTCGCACGGCACGAATTTTCAGCCACGCGCAGAAGGGGGGTGGGGGGAGGGGGGAGGGCTTCTTAGAAGCACCCTTGCTTCTTAGAAGGCGCGGGCCTCATCTGTAGATGTAAGGCCGGCGCCCTCTGAGGAGCAGCCTCCTTCTGAGAAGCCCTCCCCCCTCCCTCCACCCCCTCGTGCGCGCCGCCAAACAACTGCCGTGCATGAGCATCGAGTTTCCAGGACCTGCGCGGGGGGGGTTTGGGGGTCGGCGCTGGGCCCCCCCCTCCTCCCCGGGCGCGCGGGGCGCGCCGGGGGGCGGCGCCGAAGGCACGGCTGGGCGGTGCGGTGCCGATCCAAGAAATCGGCGCGGACATACAGTCCACATTGGCAGTACAGTGTGGGCGCGCATCAAGAAGCCATCTGCTCTTCGTCAGGGTGTCCTGGGTCTCTTCGCTCCGCGCGCCGCGCGGTGGCTTCCCGCAGCCGGGGAAGGAGCGGCCGCGTTCAGGGTGCTGCGGGCTTCCCCTCAGGTGCACCTCGCGCGCGGGTTTTCAGGGTTGGGTTCCTTACGAGGGTTTCTTGCGGCCGCGCCCGCACTGTAAGGACGATCGACTTCCCAAGGGTACCCTTGCATCCTTGCCTCTTCGGTCATCTTCGGTTCATCCTGAACCACTCTCGATGGCCCGCCGCGCTCGAAATGCTTCGACATGGGCGTCCAATGCCCTTGCATCCTTCCCGCGCATCCTTACTACCAGTTTGACTGTGCGACGGTGTATGTTCATGCCGCTTCTGACCCTCCAGAGGACGCCCTCTTCGCGTTCATGGAGAAGAGGCTGGTGGGCGTGAAGGACGCCCTCATGCGAAAGGTTGGGGAGCGCAACACAAAACAAGCATACCATCAACAAGCATAACACGATGTAATTCGGTGGCGGGAAGTGAGAAGGGGCGCGCCTTCTCAGAAGGGTCGGAATCCCCCGGCCTTCTGATGAGCTTCTAAGTAAGAAGCTCCGCCGCCTTCTGAGAATGCCTTCTCCTTCTCACTTCCCCCCCTCGCTCGCCGCCGAGTCAAGGACGCCTCCCTTTAAAGGACGCGCTCAGAAAAACATCAGATCTAATACAAAACAAGTCATGCGGAAGGTTCGCGAAAGCGACCGCGGTTTGGTGGACCTCTGCATCAGCAGCTGGTACGACGTGATCCAGCTGTCCAAGAAGGAGGGCGACACGAAGAAGGCCATGGAGGATCGCCACGGAGCAAGCGGGTCCCAAGGAAAAAAGGCGTCCTGGGGCTTGTTGACGCCGCTTCGGGGGGGCTCCCGGGGCCCTCCCCAGGTAGGCCCTGGGGCCAGCCGCAAAACGAACCTCGAGCTTCGAGCCTCCAGCCTCCAGCCTCTCCTCCTCCTCCTCTTCATCTTCCTCCTCCTCATCTTCCTCCTCCTCCTTCTCCTCCTGTCTGTCCTCCTCCTCCTCCTCCTCCTCCTCCTCCTCCTCCTCCTCCTGCTCCTCCTCGATGCTCGAACCTCCCGCCTCCAGCCGCCGGCCTCCAGCCTGGATGCTCGAGCCTCGAGCCTCGAGCCTCGAGCCTCGAGCCTCGAGCGAGCAGGTCCTGGGGAAGGCCCCGAGGGTCCAGGGCCCGTCGGCCCTCAGGACTGGCCTCTGTCGAGGGAGCGCGGCTGCACTGGCGTTCAGTGGGGCCCGCCCCTCGACGGGAGGAATCTTCAAGAGCAGTAAAACATAGTCCGGGGACGTGTTGTTGGAGCCTTTGTTACCTTCCTTGCACACTTTTGGGGGGTGCTTTTTGCCCCCCCCCCCCCCAACAAAAATCGGCCTGCAGGGGACCACGCCCGCCCGAACACCAGCGCAGGTTTTCGGAGGTCTGGGCGGATTTTTCTGGGATCGGCGCTGGTGCCCCCCCCCCCCCCCCCTGGCGGCCCGGCACGCGGCGCCGCCCCTGACGCCGCCCCTGGCGCGCTCCGCGCGCCAGGGAAGGGGGCTCCGCCCCGACCCAAGAGACTTGCGCGAACCCCAGAGAGTTCACACACACACGCACACATTCACACATTCGCACATTCACACACATATGCATATGCATATGCATATGCATATATATATATATATATATATATATAGACACCCGTTTTAATATGCACATGTATAACGTGCCGAAGCTTCGTTGTCCAGGAGATGGAGGCGAGGATGCGGGACTTCCAGGGCGAGCAGAAGGCAAGGCAGATGAGGTTCGTGGGCCGCATGCTGGAGGAGAACAGCCAGGCCGCCCTGCTGCTCGCCTGGCAGACCTGGCAGGCCTTCCACCGGGACTACGCGAAGGACAAGGATCGGGAGCCTCGAGACGGGGGTCAATGCAAACGGGGGTCAGCCAGGGCGCCAGAGCCTGCAGGATCCTGCGAAGACCCCCTCTGGCTGACCCGGGTTTGGGAGCCGCTCGTGGCCGCGAGGCGGCCGCACATATTGGCTGACCCGGGTTTGCGAAGACCTGCGTTGCAGTTTTTTTTCCTGCATTGCAGTTTTTGGTTTCCTGCTGACCCGGGTCTGGATTGACCCGGGTCAGAAGATCCCCGAAAGGAGATCGAAGAGGCGTCCAAGAAGCTGGAGCAGCAGATGGCGGCGCACATGAAGAGCAAGAAAGACGACGCCAAGAAGGTGCTGGACAGGATGGGCGGAGCCACGGACACGGGCCTCATGACGCAGGTGTGGCGGTGCTGGCTCGTCGTTGTGGCCGAGGGCAGGAAGTCCAAGGACATAGAAAAGCTGATGGAGGAGCAGGACGTGCGGCTGAAGCTCATGCTGACGAACCAGAAGGGGTTCGCGACGCAGGCGCAGATGAGGACGAACGAGCAGATGAACCAGAACCTCATCCTGCGGGTTCTGGGCGCGTGGATGCTCGAGACGAAGGTCACCCACGTGGAGAAGAGGTACTCCGATGAGGTAGGTTTTCGGACGGCTCGGGTTAAGTCGGGCCTGCCCCTCTACGGGAGGGATCTTCAACAATATGCAAAAATCAGCATGGGGACGATGTTTGGACTATGTTTGATCATTTGTGCATACTTGTTGTGCTATCTTTGATTTGTCGTATTGATCTTCTACAATATGCCAACAAAAACAAAACAGCATGGGGACGATTGTTGGACTATGTTTGGCCATTTCTGCATTCTGTTTGTGCTATCCTTGATTTGTCGTCCAGGACCCCCCTGTGCGAGGACACGCCCGGCCGCAGGCTCGGGCCCCGAGCCCAGACCCCCGACGTCATGATTTTTTCATGACGCGACCCCCAGAGGTCCAGACCCATTCCCCAGGACCGGTTTTTCATCCCGAATAGTTTTTTGACGGTCCCGAGGCCCGGTAAGGCCCCTCAGAGGCCGAAAATGGCGAAAAACCTCGCGTCGTGATTTTTTCATGACTCGAGGAGGTCTGGGAGTGGCCCCCTGGGGGGGGCTCCGCCCTGCCGGCCTGGGCGCGGGGCGCCCCATGGGGCGCCGAGGCCGCCCTCTGGACGCCTCGGGAGGCCGCTGGAGGGAGGCCGGCCCCGAGACTTTCGTGCTCTCGCTTCCACGCCGGCTACATGTTGGTCCCGACGGCCACGATCCCCAGACCCCCTCGAGTTATGAAAAAATCACGACGGGAGGTTTTTCGCAATTTTCGGCCTCTGGGGGCCCTCACCGGGCCTCGGGACAGTCAAAAAACGACTCGGGATGAAAAACCGGTCCCGGGGAATGGGTCTGGACCTCTGGGGGTCGCGTCGTGAAAAATTCATGGCGTCGGGGGTCTGGGTCCTTGGACGGCCCGTGCCAAAAGTCCAGCCCGGATCGCGTCGTTCAAAGATCAGCTCGGGAGGTGTTTGGGGTTCTTTTCGGCCCCGCGGGGGGCCCTCGCCGGGCCTCGGGACCGTCGAAAAACGACTCCAGACGAAGAACCGGTCCTGGGGAAAGGGTCGACTCCAGATCCGCCTTACCTTGGCTGTCTTTCCAACTTGAATTGCGTCGGAACTCCACCTATACGAGGCCGAAGAAGTAGGGCGGACATTTCTGCACCCAACATGAGGCGGGGCGGAGATCCGCAGAAGCGGGCGGAAACAGCAACAGAAAAGTAGGGCGGAAATTGGCATCAGCGGGGCTTGAAAGTAAGGCGGAAATTCCAAGCCCTGCTTGCGAAATCGCCCAAAGTAGGGCGGATCCGGAGTCAGGGAGCTGGGACCGCTCGTCGGGGGCGGCAGCGAGGGGAGGTTTTTCGCCATTTTCGGCCTCTGGGGGCCCTTACCGGGCCTCGGGGCCGTCAAAACACGACTCCGAACGAAAAACCGGTCCCGGGGAATGGGTCGGGACCTCCTGGGGGTGGGGGCGGCGTCTGGGACTGTGGAGGACGATCGATGGAGAGGAAGCATGCTGCCAAAGAATTTCCAGATGTCTGACACATGTTTCAAACAGCTTTTGAACATTAGAAACACCCTGCTTGAAACAGTTTTAGAGCATGTTTTACATATTCTAACCAGTTTTTAACTTCAATGATCGGATTGTTTGAGTGTCCATTGTCATGGCATCCGCGAGCCCAGGATGGGGGTGGATATCATGGCGTGGGCCATGGCATGTCCTCAGATTTCATGGCACCGCCTCTCATTTCATTGCGTCCCTGGCCCCCCCCCCTGGGCCGCGCACGTGCCGCCGGCCATGAGTTGCGCCCCCCCCCCCCTCTGGGACGCCCCCCTCCCCAGAGATCCGACGTCGTGATTTTTTCAATGCGCGGTCCCCGGAAGCCTCGATCCATTCCCAGGACCGGTTTTTCATCCTGAGTCGTTCTTTGACGGTCCCTGTGGCCCGGCGAGGGCACCTCGAGGCCGAAATTAGCGAAAAACTTCCGTCGTGATTTTTTCAAGACGCTGGATCTCTGGGTCTTGGCCGCCCCCGAGCTCGCCCTGACTCCTGATCCGCCCTACTTTGGGCGATTTCGAAAGTAGGGCGGAAATTTCCGCCCTACTTTTGAGGCCCCTTTGAGCGTCGATTTCCGCCCTTGAGGCTCCTTTGGCGTCGATTTCCGACACAATTTTAGGTCGGAAAATCATCCAAAGTACGGCGGATCAGGAGCCAGGGCGGGGAGCCTGTCGAGGCCAGCCGGGACAGCCGGGTCTGTGCGCAACCCGAAGCCTGGCGCCTTGGCGCTCCTTTCGGGCCTGTGGGCCCGCTGGATGCCCGTCGGGGCCTCTGGGGAGCCGCCGCCGAGCGAGGTACAGGGAGAAGATCGACAGCAAGCGGGACCAGCTGCGGAAGGTGCAGACCCTGTTCACGAGGTTCGCGAAAGAGCTCGAGGAGTCGAGAGACCCAGAGATCCAACGTATTGAAAAAATCAAAACGCAGGTTTTTCACAATTTTCGACCTCTAGAGGCCCTCGCCAGGCCCCGGGACCCTCAAAAAACGGCTCAGGATGAAAAACCGGTCCTGGGGACTGGGTCGAGACTTCCGGGGACCCCGCATTGAAAAAATCACGACGTCGGATCTCTGGGGAGCCCCCCCCAAAAAAAAACTGCAAACGTGCGCGTGCTCGGAGGTCCGCGCGGGTGTCTTGTTGGGTCGGCGCGGGGCCCCGCGCGCCCTTCCCCGGTCGCGCAGGGCACGACGGAGGCAGCGCCGTAGGCGCCGCCAGGAGCCGGGAGGTGTGAGCCCTGGCCCCCTCGGGCAGTGAAAAAATCACGGCGGGAGGTTTTTTCCGAATCTCGGGTCGGGCGAAAGGGGGGGATTGGGAAAGGGGGGGGTACGAAATTTGCTGCATGCAGCTGGTTTCGGCCTCACCGAGGGGCCCATTCCTCGATACGTAGCCGCCTCCGGCGCCGGGAAAGTCAGCTACGTGAGCTGATTCTCAAGCCCCCCCTTTGCTATCCCCCCCTTTCGCCCGACCCGAGGATCTTCGGCCTCCAGGGGCCCTCGCCGGGCCTCGGGACCGTCAAGCAACGATACTCGGGACGAGAAGCCCGGCCCGGGGGCAGGGGTCGAGACCCCCCAGAGATCCGACGTCGGGATTTGTTCAATGCGGGGTCCCCGGAGGTCTCGACCCGGTCCCCAGGACCGGTTTTTCATCCTGAGCCGTTTTTCCCAGACCTCCTCGCGTCGTGAAAAAATCACGACGGGAGGTTTTTCGCTATTTCGGCCTCCGGGGGCCCTCGCCGGGCCTCGGGACCGTCAAAAAACGACTCAGGACGAAAAACCGGTCCCGGGGAATGGGTCGGGACCTCTGGGGGTCGCGTCATGAAAAAATCATGACGTCGGGGGTCTGGGTTTGAGGGTCCCGGGGCCCGGCGAGGGCCTCTATAGAGGTCGAACATTGCGACAAACCTGCGTCTTGATTTTTTCAATGCGTTGGATCTCTGGGGACCTCTGGGGGTCGACGTAAGGAAAAAATCATGACCTCGGGGGTCTGGGAGGCCCCGGGCTCCGCGCGGGCCGCTCGTGTTCTCCGAGGTCGGGGGGGCGTCATCCACATGCAGCTCAAGAGGGCCCAAGGGGCCGCCAAGACGCCCCGAGTGGCCTCCAGGAGGCGCCCCAGGAGGGCCCCGAGAGGCAAACATGATCGGTTGTCCCTCGCGCTTCTGAAGGATTCGGGCGTTCTCGCCTGTTCGGCTTCCCGACGCTTCCGGACGGCCCAGGAGCCCCCGAAGACAGCCCCCAGGCGGCCCAAAAAAGGCCTCCGAGAGGGCCTCTCCCCGATCTCGAGGAGCCCTCCTGGCTCGGCCGGGGAGGCAGAGAGATTCCTCCTCCGAGTTCTTTCGGGTCCGGGCGGGGGCAAAAACCCATGCACCTTTCAGGAGGAATGTCCAAGCACTTGTTTCAAAAAATAGTCTGGGGACGACTTGTCAGTCATTTTCATTACTGTTTGTGGACTATTTTTCGGATTTGTTTGGGTACGTTTTGGTCTGTCGCCCAAAATCCCCCTGCACGGGGGCACGCCCTTAGAGGGCCCCGGAAACGGCAGGGCCGTTTTTCCACCGTTTCTGAAAAAGTGTCCCTTGAAAATGGAAACGGCAAAAAAACGGCGACCGGAAACGGCTGCAAAAACGGCTCCCGGAGTGGAACCGGAGCCGGAACCGGTCAAACAACGGCGGCGGAGCCGGTAAAAGAACGGCGTTGGAACCGGCAAGGAAACGGCAAAACGGAACCGGTAGAAAAACGGCCTTGTCGTTTCCAGGGCCCACTATCGGGGTTGGACAGACCTCCTACTCCGACACGTCGATTGGTGAATTGTCCGTTTTCGGTTCTCGAGAGGGCGCCGTGGCCGTTCTTTTCCAGGCTTGCGCCCGCCAGGTGTGGGCCTCAGGTCGTTTTCACTAAACCACGTTTTACTAAAGGGAGGTCCGTCCATCCCCGACACTAAGTCCCCCCCTTAATGGAGGATGACGATTAATAAATGACCGGGGGTCGTGTTCACGCGGCGGCGCCCGGGATGACGATTAGAAAAAACCGGCCGCGGGCTGGAAAACTAGTTGTTTAGATCGTCCTCCTCCAGTCCGGAACCTGTGCAGAGATAGCAGGAAACTATTTTTTGTAATCGTCCTCCCCAGACCCCCGACGTCATGATTTTTTCATGACGCGACCCCCAGAGGTCCCGACCCATGCTCCGGGACCGGTTTTTCGTCCTGAGTCGTTTTTTGACGGTCCCGAGGCCCGGCGAGGGCCCCCGGAGGCCGAAAATGGCGAAAAACCTCCCGTCATGATTTTTTCATTACTCGAGGGGGTCTGGGCCGATCGGTTGCCCCTCCTCCCCGCCCGAAAGCGCGCGGCGCGGGGCCCAGGCAGCGCGCGGGGCCCCTCCGGGGCCCGGCGGCCGCGGCGCGCCGCCGTCGTGCGTCGTGGGACGATGACGACGACGACGATCACGACCACGACGACGACGACGACGACCACGACGACGACCCAGAGATCCAACGTATTGAAAAAATCAAAACGCAGGGTTTTCACAATTTTCGACCTCTAGAGGCCCTCGCCGGGCCCCGGGACCCTCAAAAAACGGCTCAGGATGAAAAACCGGTCCTGGGGACTGGGTCGAGACTTCCGGGGACCCCGCATTGAAAAAATCACGACGTCGGATCTCTGGGGACGACGGCCACGACGACGACGAAGACGGAGACGACGGTGGCGGCGGGCGACCACGACGATGGCGACGGCGACCACGACGACGACGGCACCGACGGCGGAAGACCGCTCTTCCCCCGCCCTCCACCTTCCGCACCTTCCGCGCGGCAGGTGCCGCGCCGCGGCGGACGCTGCCGCCGCCGAAACCTCCTCTGCGGCCTCGGCGGAAGCAGCAATGGCGGCCGCGGCGGCGGCCGCCGCGGCGTGGAACCTGCCGCGCGGAAGGTGCGGAAGGTGGAGGGTGAGGGTTCGGCGCAGCAGGGGGAAGTGCGTGACGCCGAAAGGACAGAATTGTCCCGAGCGGAGCAGCGGAGGCGGTGCGATCAGGGCGCGTCTCGGCGCGCCCGCCGCCGGCTCGAGCGGGTGGCTCGGCGGGGAGCCTCCCCGCCGTCGCTGCACGCAGTCCGCCAGGCCCGGGCGCGAGCCCGCGGCTCTTCCGCGAACCCCAGGGCGTGACGCGTGGCGTCGCCGCGTTCAGCCGCCTGCGGTTCGGCCCGTCTCCACCTGGCGCCCCGCCCTGCCCCCGCCCCGCGCGCGTCGTCCCCGCCATGCCGCCGCGCGCTGTGGCTCGCAATCGCCGTGCGCCCGCCGCTGGCCCGAGGGGGCAGGGGGGCGGGGCCCCCCCCCGCCCTCGCCTCGCGAGCCCCGCCGGCCCAGCGCCCGCGGGCGCCCGCCGTCCCCATTGCGTCGCGCGCACGTCGCCTCGTTTTGCCGTTCTCGGTCCGTGGATGCCTTCGCTGGCGCAGCGGCTCCCCCGCGCGCTTCGTGCGCGCCATTCTGCCCCGCGCGTCCGCGCGCAGTGTCCAGCCGCCCGCCGCTGGCCTGGGCGGGTCGTCTGGCGGGGCGTCCTCCTCTGCGATCGCCGTCTGGTTCCGCGCCGTCCGCGGAGTCTCTGGGTTCACGCCGCCTCCAGTTGCCGCGCGAGCATCGCCGCGCACTGTCGTTTTCGGCTTGGCCAGGGGGGGGGGAGGGGGGTTTGCGGAGAGGGCTTCTTCGACTTGCGCTTCTCGGTGGCGGCCACCAGAATCGGCAGCGGCGCCCGCTGGCAACGAGCCCCTGGGTTCGATCCAGCGCGATGCCGACGTCGACTCGACCCCGCCGTAATTACGCTGCTGGGAACGTGGAGGGCGACGCGGGGGGCCCGAGAGGGCGTCCGGGTGGGGATGGAAGAGGGGAGGGGGGCCCGCAAAGGGCGGCAGACGCGCGGGGCGAGCCCGTGGCGACGCGCCGTAGCCGAGGCGCGGCGGATTTGAGGCGCGGCCTTCCAGGCGAAGCGTTCCCCGTGCAACGGGGAACCGTTTGCTGGCAGCGGTCCGCGCGACCCTGCGCAAGAAAAACGGTTGGACGAATGCGTTCTGCACGCGGGCCAGAGCTGAACAGCAGTGCAGCATCGCGAGACCCAGACCCCCGACGTCATGATTTTTTCATGACGCGACCCCCAGAGGTCCCGACCCATTCCACGGGACCGGTTTTTCGTCCTGAGTCGTTTTTTGACGGTCCCGAGGCCCGGCGAGGGCCCCCGGAGGCCGAAAATACTCGAGGAGACCTGGGAGCATCGTTCTCCGAGCCCTGGACCCCACCTTCCTGACGTGTGCTTCGACGCGGATCGACATGTGGTGGCCCTGAGGGGAGGAGGAGGAGGAGGAGGAGGAGGAGGAGGAGGAGGAGGAGGAGGGGAGGAGGAGGAGGAGGAGGAGGAGGAGGAGGAGGAGGAGGAGGAGGGAGGAGGATAGGAGGGAGGAGGAGGAGGAGGAGGAGGAGGAGGGAGGAGGAGGAGGGGAGAGGAGGAGGAGGAGCCTGGCGAACGCGCGGGCGGGGGAGGCCGAGGCGCCGCCACAGGGGCTCGGCGCCAGGACTCCAAGAGCTCATGCCTGTAGGGCCCCCCCCCTTCCTCCCTCCTCCCTCCTCCTCCTCCTCATCCTCCTCCTTCTCCTCCTCTCCTCCTCTCCTCACTCCTCACTCCCTCCTCACCTCCTCCTCCTCTCCTCCTCCTCCTCCTCCTCCTCCTCCTCCTCCTCCTCCTCACTCCTCACTTCTCACTCCTCCTCCTCGTCCTCCTCCTCCGCCTGAGTTGCCCCACGATGGTGAGAGGGTCTCGGTCTTCCGAGGACGGCCTGACCCCCGCCGACGGCGAGTCCTCCGGGCGGACCCAGAAGGGCCGCTCCAAGCAGCAGCGGGGCGTGGACGGCTCGCTGCCCGGCATCCGCGGCGCCCACAGCCGCTCGTGAGGGCGCGAGCCGCCTCCCTGGCGCTGTCTGCGCTTGGTTCCATCCTCCCCCCCTTTCGGGGTGCGGGCCAAGCGGGTCGAGCTCTGGGCGTGTTTGATGCTCCTGGGGCGCCTTCGTGGCCACGTCCGGCCGCGCCCCGCATGGTTCGACCCTTCGCGTGCCCCCACGGGCCAATCCAGGCGGGGTGCCCCTTCCCCAGGGGGCGCGGCATCATGTGGAGAACGCGGGGGGCCTCCGTGGGCCAGAGGTTTCTCCGGTGCTGCTCGGGGTCTCCTGGGGTGTCCCTCGCAGTTTCATGTCTTTTGGGACCTCATAGGGGGCTTATGGGGACTCCTGGCGACGTTTCGGGGCCTCTTGGAGCATATTGGGGGGCCTCTTGGAGGTCTCTTGGGACGCCTTGGGAGCCTCATTGCGGCTCGGGGTCCTTGTGGGGCCTTCCTAAAGGCCTCGTGGGCGCCTCTTGGGGAACGCTTGGTGCCATCTTGGGATGATTTCGGGTTGCGGCGCACCCGACCTTTTCCTTGCATCTAGCAGTCAGGATATAGGCGTCCTGTTGCTTCTCAGTCAGTGTGGATCATTTCGGGCCGTTTGGGGGCCGCCTAGGAGGCGTTCGATCAATGAAGGGGGGGGGGGGTTCTCAATTAGCGCCCCCCCCCCGACCCACCCCCCCAGGGGACCAAAATGGGGCCAACACATATGGAAAATCAGCGATGTTCGCCTTCTCGGCGATGCTTTTTGGGCGCCGTAACGACCCGCGACCCTTTCCCCCGTCCAGACCCAGGGGGAGTGGGCAACTGGAGGAGTAGACGGTAGACCTCTCCCCGGCGGGGAAGAAAGGAACGAGGAAACGCCCCAAAGCAGCTACGCCCTCAAAGGCTGGTGGGGTTCTGGTCAGAACGCACCCCAGGAGAGGTTCGAGGGTTTCGGTGGTTCGAGGTTTGAGGTTTTCGGGCGTTCTCGTCGGTTCTCGGCAGTCTTCCATCCTCGGGGCGCTCTCCAGCAGCTGCGCCTCGCCGAGAATGTCCCAGGGATCGCTGGAGACCCGAGCTGTGACCCGAAAGACAGGAAGCAATGTTAAATGGGGATAGGCTAAAGTCGGGCATGTCCCTCTACAGAGGGAGTCTTCCAGAATAGTACCACATACAGGCGGCCCGGATTAGTAGGTCGACCCTGCCTGATCAAGGGTACCCTTGTGCCTTGTGTGTCTCGCGACCCATGCTTCGTACATTCCTGCGGCGATGTGGCCCTCGAAAGGGTCGTGTGTCCTCTCGCGTGTCCTCTCCAATCAAGCCCGACTGGAGTCTTGTGACGTTTTTGTTCGTGCTCCGTCCACTATGTTTGATTTTGCTTGTGTCTATATGTTAGTTTTCTTCCACAGCCCGCCTGTAGGAGGACATGCCCGACCTGAGGATAGGCTCAGGGGGGAACGCATCGACCTCCGATCCACCAGTTCATCCTTTGGCCCACATCCCTCAGGACCCCACCTTTGAGCCAGAAGGAGGAGGAGGAGGAGGAAGAAGATGGTGAGGAGGAGGAGGAGGAAGAAGGTGGTGAGGAGGGGATGAGGAGGAGGAGGAGGAGGAGGAGGAGGAGGAGGAGGGGGAGGAGGAGAAGCAGGGAGGCCTCTGGTGTCGGCGCCCCTCCCGTCGTCCTCGGTTCGTCCTCGGCCGCCGCCGAGCCATCGCCCGGGCACTTCCGGATTCGCCATCGGGTGCCCATCGTCGGTCTGTCAGCGGCGCGCCGCCGATGCCAGCTCGGTGGGTCCGGTCCGCCCCTGAGCCCGGTCCCCCCCCCCCCCTCGCACCACTCCTAAGGAGGAGGAGGAGAGGAGGAGGAGGAGGAGGAGGAGGAGGAGGAGGAGGAGGAGGAGGAGGAGGAGGGAAGGAGGAGGAGGAGGAGGACCCCCCTCGTGGTTGTTCGGGGGGGGCGCGGCTCTCGGATCTCTCAGGCCTCGAGGCGCGCGGTTTTTTTTGGGGGGGGACGCGGGGGGGGGGGGCGGGATGGGCGGACAACCCAGGCGCGCTGGCCGCTACGCTGCCGCATCGCATGCAGCGGTCGGCAGCACGGGCTCCAGAGGTTGCTCGTGCAGCAACGTGAGTGTCGCTCTCCTGCGCGTACGCAGCGGGGCCTCTGCCTCTTCTCGTCCGCGGGCTTGGAGCCCCCTCCAGTCCTCCCAGTCTCCGCCTCCTCTCGGCGGCGCGCCCCAGGGGGGGGGGGGGAAGCGAGAAGGGGCAGGGCCTCCTCGGAAGGCGGCGGGGCTCCTCGGAGGCCCTCTCGGCTTCTGAGAGGCCGTCCGTGTCGTCGGAGAAGGCTCAGAGAGCTTTTCAGAAGGCTGGAGGCCTGCCGAGCCCCCCGAGACGGCCATCCCCGTCTCGCTTCCCCCCCGGGGCTCGCCGCCGATCTTCTCCATCTCGGGGCTGGAGCCCTTTTCAGTTCCCCCCTGTTCCACCTCCTCCTCCTCCTCCTCCTCTTTCTCCTCTCCTCCTCCTCCTCCTCCTCCTCCTCCTCGTCCTCTCCTCTCTCCTCTCCTCCTCCTCATCCTGCTCCTCCTGCTGCTGCTCGTCCCCCCTCTCCTCCGACGGCATCGCTCCAGCTCGGCTTCTTCCCTCCTCCTCCTTCTCCTCCTCCTCATCCTCGTTCTCGTCCTCCTCCTCGTTCTCGTCCTCCTCCGACGTCCTCTCCTCCTCCCTCCCTCCTCCTCCTCTCCTCCTCCTCCTCCTCCTCCTCCTCCCCCTCCTCCTCCTCTTCCTCCCGCTCCTCCTCCTACTACTCCCACTCCCACTCCCACTCCCACTCCTACTCCGACGTCGTCGTGCTCTTGATGTGTCCTGCCACTGTTTTTGTTCCCATCTCGGCCTCCCTGGGGCCCGCTTCGAGCCCTGGGGGGGCACCCAGAAAACGCGAGCCGCGATGGAAGGCTGGTCCCAGGGAAGAAGGGGTCGAGAGGTCTGGGGGCCGCGGGCGGGAAGATCGCCACGTCGGTTCCCCCCTTTTCCCCTCCCACCCCCATTCTTCTCTGGCTCCCTCCCTCCCCCTCTCAGCCTCCCCTCCTCCTCCTCCTCCTCCTCCTCCTCCTCCTCCTCCTCGTCCTCCTCCTCCTCCTCCTCCTCCTCCTCCCGATCTAGGTCGAGGTTCCAGGCGTTCGGTTGCTTGAAACGTCTCTGGACCTTGGGCCTCCACGGGCCTCCAGAGGCATTCGGCTGCCCCTCCTCGCAATCCCTCCCGTGCTGCCGCACATTGCACAGTGGGTGCACCTAGAGACAACGAGCACACAGGTCGAATCCATCGGCGAACAGGCCCTCACGCACCGGCGAACAGGACACGCACTGGCGATCAGACCAGTGGGCTGTGTGGACGGCGCGCGTCGAGAGGCACCGCCGAGTTTGCGATCTCTGGGCGAAGCGCGCGCTCCGTACACAGGCCGGCGAAGGGGCCCGCAGCACATGCACACATGTACCAGGCGTAGTGCTGGAGCCGTCTTTGGCGTGCACGGGCATCGCGCGCCAGTGGAAGCCACGCTTTGCACGTGGGGCCGAAGTGGTGGCCGCGTAGCACAACGCGCGTGCTTTGATGGGTCGAGCCAGCAGGTCGGGAAACGAGGCCGAACCGCAAGGCTCCAGAGGACCCAAACGGGGCGCCAGCGCAGCCCCAAAGATGGCAAGTCAGCGCGCCAGCGAAGCGCCCAAGAGGCTGCGACGCATCGCAACTTCGGCTCCAGACTCCAGGTGGCCCCTTGGGAGCTTCACAGAGCAGCGCACAAGCGTTCCGAGGTGGTGGCCCCGGACTGCCCCAAGACAGCCCTCGGAGATCCTCGGATAGCCGAGGCCGCCCAGGGTGTCACCCATGGGCGTGCGCACTGCGTGTATCCACCAACCGTCTTTCGCCCCGGCTTCCCACGCGGCCGCGGGGGGCCAGACCGACCGCGCATGGCGACGTGCCCCCGCACCTACAGGACGTACGCCGGCGAGGTGATCGCAGCCCCGCGGCTTCCCGAGTGGTCTCCCGCACGGCCTTCCCCCATCTGGTCTCCCGTGTGCTTTTTTCCGCACGGCCTCCCGCGCTGTCCTCCGCACGCTCTTCCGCGTGGTCCCCCGTCTCCCGCGTGCTCTTCCGAGTGATGGGCCTGCTTTGCACCACCACCACCACCATATGTTGGAGGGGGAGGGGGTCCTCCTTCTCCTCCCCCCCCGCCTCCGCCTCCTCCTCCTCCTCGTCCTCCTCCTCCTCCTCGTCGTCGTCCTCCTCCGCCCCCCCTCCAGCTTCTGGTGGCGGCGGTGGTGGAACACAGGCCAAGCACCGAAGGGCCCCCCGCAGGGGTCGACCGCGTGGTCGACCGCCTCGCCTCCCGCAGTGGTCTCCGGCAGCGGCCTCTCTCGCGTGGGTCCACCTCGCGCGCCGAGGGCCTCGGGCCGCGCCCGCCGCCGGCCGCCGCCGCAGCCCGCGCCTCCCGCCGGGAACTGCCCCCGGCCCGGGCCAGAAAGTTCCGGGACGGCAGAAGTCGACGACACGTAAGTCGGGCCTGTCTCTCTCTGCAGAGATGAAAGCTCTTTCCTTCCTCTCCGGTCTCGTCGGTCTCCTTTTCCTCCCCCTCCTCCTTGTCCTCCTCCTCCTCCTCCTCCTCCTCCTCATCCTCCTCCCGTTCCTCGTTTGTCTCTTCCTGCTCATCCACCAGCTCATCCGCCACCTCCTCCAATGTGTTCAGCTCTCCGAATCGGATTGTGCATAACACGGTGGTGCCCTCTTCAGATTTCAGGTCCGCTATGTCACCCGTTGGCGGACGGAGAAAGTATCGGCGTAATGGGAAGAGATGAGCGGGAGGAATGAGGTGTCAGATATGGCGCGAGCGCATTCATTCTCTCACCCTCTCTCTCGTCTCTTCCTCCTCTTCCTTCTCCTCCTCCTCCTCCTCCTCCTCCTCCTCCTCCCTTTCCCGACTTCCTTGCACAATCGCCGGACCAACGGGCCACAGACATGCTAACATCTCTGGTGAGAGGCTCTCGTCATACCTTGTAGGCCACCCTTCTGATCATTCTACTTCGCGCGCGCGTGGCAGCCCCTGGTAATCCTGGGTCGGAAAATACCCCCGCGATGCTCCAGTCACGGATGCCGGAACTCCCTCCCCCTCCTTCTCCTCCTCCTCCTCCTCCTCCTCCTCCTCCTGTTTGTATCCTCCTCTTCTTCCTCCTCCGCCTCCTCCTCCTCCTCCTCCTCCTCCTCCCCCTGCTCCTCCTGATTCTCCTCCCCCCCCCGCTCTTTTACCCCTGCATGCTCCTTTTCTTCATCCTCCACTTTCTCCTCCCCCTCCCTGCTCTTCTTCCTCACCCTTCTTCTTCTGCTCTGAGGGCTCTGGAGGCCCGCCACAGGCTTACCTGATGTTCGCCTCTGGCGGTGTCCAGAGCACCCCCCCCCCAAAAAAAAAGGTATGCCAAAAACACTTATCCCCTCTGCTCAATCCTCGATCCTCCTCCTCCTCCTCCTCCTCCTCCTCCTCCTCCTCCTCCTCCTCCTCTTCCTGTGTTCTCCTCATTTTCGCGTCTGTCCTCCTTTTTGTCCCTTTGTCCCCTTCTCTCCTTCCGTAGCAATGCTGGCTCAGTCGGATTATCTTTTGTTGCCCCCCAAATGGGGCTCCCTATCGGTAAACTCACGTCCGTTTGAAGTCGAACGCGCTTTCTTCTGTTTTGGTGGGCTACGAGACCGGCAGATGTGTTCGAAGTCAAATTATCTTGCTGCTCGGAAGCGACTCCTGTGGAAGGATGCTTACCGACAAATCGATTTGGACCTCCAATATCATGCAGTCTGGAGGGACGCGGATCACTGTGAAGTTTTCAGTCACAATGCGTTTTTCTCTCGCAGACTATCTCGATGGCGCGACCACTGGTCGGCGATAAGGTGTACACGCGTGATCGTCGGCTTTTTCGATTCGCTGGTGGAGCACGGCGTGAATTATATGTTCCTGGACAGCACGTGGCTCTGGCTGTTGTTATTTCGCCTTCGTGCCTTGCCTCGTCCAGCACAGTAGTGGCAGCACGATGGAAGGATAGCCCTTGGAGGTTGTAATCTCTGAGGCAACATCCACCTGAATTCCTACCATGTGCAGCTAGTGAAGATGGGGATTTCGGCTCCGTTGCGCCGTCGCCGTCCTTTGAACTATCACCTGTTATCCCGAGCGTCTGTGCGGAATTCGCTATCGGCTCGACCGCACGGCGGGCGGTTGCTCAGTGCACGAAAAGATTGTCCCGTGCGCATGACCTCCGCACGTTTGACCACCGACGACAACAGTTGTTGACGGCAGTGGAACACAATAGTGGGAAACGGTTTTTGGCAGCATCTTGTTTTCCTCTCTTTCGAACGCGCTTTGGTTGCACCAGTTGCGGCCATTGAAGAGCATTTCGAGAGGAGTGGGCTGGCGTGGCGCCCCTCGTGCGACGTGAATGACGAGGCGGCCATTGTACGGATTGCAGAACAGTTGGCGGAACGTGGCACTAAGCATCATGAATATTTGGTCAAGCGCTGCCAGGAGATTGAAACCGTGTTCGGCCGCGGTCTCGGGGCCCAGTCCCAGACACTGGGCTCGCACGTAGTCCTGTTCAGGCACATCGTCGACGCCCTGGGCCAGCAGGTTTTCGATTTGCGCACCGAGGCCACTGACGGGGTACGCTCCGTCGCTTTGTTTTAAGCGAAACTCGACGCGATGCGCGGTCTCTCTTCGTCGCTCGCGCGCTCAGTTGCGGGCCAAAGTCGCCCTACAGCTGTTGCTGGCGAAGTCCTGTTGGCATAGGCACCACTTCCATAGGATAACAAAACGACGGCAAAGGCACACAACTGCTGATCACATTCGGTTGTGTTTTGGGAATGAATCCGCGTCGCCCGTCACGCGTTTCAAACGCTGTTAGCGCTGAGCCCCGCCCCATCCCCAGCGTGTGCGCGCGGTTTCTCAAAGGGGCGGACGAGGACCGAAAATGGATCTTTCATGAGCAACGCTTGAGCAGCGCTCCTGGAGGGCAGTGATGGGGCGCGGGACACATGAAAGGCATGCAACATGGATCCGGGCGTGAAAGACCCCCAAACATGCTGAAGAGCTTTACTAAGATTCTGAAACTGGTGTGAAGCACGACAACAGACGACAAAAGCAAATGCAATCTGGAGACAGAAAAAAGGCCGACGACAAGAAAAACGACGACAACTAAACAGGCCGACTAGAATTTCAAACGACAGAAAAATGACAACGAAAAAAGGAGGCAGGCGACATTATCCGCCCCGGCGCAGAGCCGCGACGAATGCCGAAATGGCGACGACAACATTGCTTTGGAAGACGTACAACAGAAATTGAGGAAGTGCCATTCGCATTGCAGATGCATAGGGGATGCTGACCACGGTGCAAGTTTGCCACGCGGATTGGTCCAGCGATTTGTCCGCGCGCGTTCCGCGCGCCCAGAAGGTTCGCGCCCCCGCTTGGCTTCCGCGCGCGTGCCGTGCTTTCGCGCGCGCGCGAGCATGGCAGATTTGAGTTCACATATCTCCCAACGCAGGTCGGCGCGCTTCCGTTGAGAATGTGGAGATAAGCTCATTGTTTGTTGCCAAACGACTTGTCCTCGGATCTTGTCATATAGGTCACGAGGAGCTGGCTGCTGCGACGGGGGAGTTTCTCTGCTTGGCGCGCCCTCCACTGCGAACCTGGCCCGTCCCATGGGCAGACCGTGGCTGCGTTGTTGGATGATTGCTCAGATCTTGCCAACGTATCTCGGGATGGAGCCTGTGAGTTCATGACGTCGATTCGCGCCTTCACCATGGGCGAAAGCAGGGCGCCGATCGTGAACCTGCTCGCCGAGTTCCCTGGGCGCGACGCGGGGCCACCGACAGTTGTCCTGGTTGTGACGCGTGCGACCGCGGCCGAGCACTCGAAGAAGATCGTCGCAATCGTGGGGGCGCCCCGGGGCCTTCGCGACGTCCATCAACGATGACGTCGTGCGCGGGGTGAGCGCGGACTTCGCTGCTAATCCTAATTCTGGTGGCCTGGGACTCGAAGGTGCAGTCAGCGCTCTCGCAGGCGCGGCGCGGGCAGCCTTCCCGCCCGTCGGCGCCGCGCGAGGGGCGATGCGACTGCCGCCGGCATGTTGTCTGGCGAGAGCGATGCCGGCCATGCGAGCGACGGGGACTCGTTATGACGACGTCTGGCAGGGCAGCGACGGCCGTTGGAGGACTCTTCGTTGGTCGAGGTGATGTTCTTCAGGCGCGCCCAACGAGTGGTTGCTGCCCCGTTTCTGCTCGTCGCCGTCTCGTCCACTTCGCCTCGTTCGGCTTCGCAAGTTCCGCTGATTTTTTGCGGGTTGCGCCTCGGCTCGTTTTCACCCCGTGGGAGCGCTTGTGCCTTGCGCGCCCGCGTGGATTGGATGTGCCTCACTACGCTTGTCTCCTCAACTCCTCCTCCTCCTTGTTACCCTTTTCCCTTCCCCCAACCCCCCTGCGTCGGGCGCGGCGGCTGCCGCGCGCGCTCGCCCGCCTCGCGCCCGGGCCAGCCGCGCCGTCTTCGCGGCGCGCCGCGAGGGCCCGGCGCGGCACCGCCGACAGCGCAAGCAGCGCAGTCAGGCGAGGCTGCCGGCGCAATTCGCGGCCGCCGCCGACATTGCGCAGGCGCGTCGCAGCAGACAGACGCCGCCCCAGCGAGGCCAGCCCCATCGAGGAGGAGGGCGGTCATCGCGCTGGGATCAGCCAGCACCGTGGCAGAACCAGAAGACGACGTGCACCAAGCTGTGGGAGTGCCCAGCGCGCGCGCACCACAACTGGGGACAGCTTCCCCTCGGACGACCAAGAAAGGTCGATTGGTTAGTCCTGCCATGGACCTTGGCAAATCGGTGGTTGCTGGGTCTCCACGGGGGGCGGGCACGGCCAAAGCTCCTCTCCGCGGTCTGCTTGATGCCGCCCGCGCGACAGCCCCGCGCGGATGAATATGGGCCTTCATCGAGGATGCAGCGTGCCGCATGAAAGGAGTCAAAGATATTGTTTTTGGTGATCTGAGGTCGGTTGCAGTGTTCTTGGCCAGATCGTTGCAGGATGCGCGTTTGGCGATGCCCAACAAGGCGCGCATCCTTGCCAGCTCTGCTAAGATTGGCTCGGAGCTGCGCCCGCACCTGAGTGAGCTCGGCATCCTTGTCAAGCTCACTCGCTCGGCAGTTCGCCCTGGCACCGACGCTGCAGGTGCCAGGGCTAGGCGGCGGGGTCGGTTCTTGAAGAGGGCGACGTGTGGCGCGTATCCTCAATGCGAGGAGGCTTCACGGCAGCCACGAGGTCGCCCGCGGATTGTGGAGCACTGGTGCCTACCCAGCATCAACATATGGGCACCAAGTTTTGGGCTCGCTACCATCTACCCTGTCTGGCTCTCCGTCGGCAGGGCGCCAGGGCCATGGCTGGGCGCGTGCGCGGGCGTTGCTTGCGCGCGGTGATCCAGGCCGCGATGGGCGAATCGGGCCCATCCGTTCAGCTCAGGAGGTCGCGGAGTGCCAGCCACGCGCAAATCATTCAAATCTG